GTTCCACAATTCCGAGTTAGTTCGCACTTTCCCCTAGTGCAGCGGGTTGCCATTGTTGTCTTGTCTACAGAACTGCGAGTTAGTTCGCACTTGTCAACACCCTTTGCACTTGTCGATAAACCACATCTTACTCATTTCGAGGGCATCTAGTTGGGTCGCAGTCTTTCCGAACAGTTATCGTCTTCCCTCCGAACTTCTGTCTTTCCTATCCTTCACCCGATTGTTGTGACTTCGTGTGCATTTCGAACACCCATCTCTTACGTCCTTTTCTTCCTCCATTTCGTTAAGTCCGAGTTAGTTTGCACTTCGCTTCTGTAGTGGTCTCGGGTTGGGCGTATTAGTCATCCAAGTTGGTTTGAGGTTGGGCGTGCTAGTCAACGAGTGGGAATACAATGGCGTCCGCAAAGAACACATCCACAGGCGGTGGACCATCTGCCCCCGGGGAGGGACGACCTGCACAGCAACCTACTCCTCAGTATATGCACGCAAAGGGAGCACCATGGTTTTTGGACTTCGTTGTTCAGGGGGATCTTTTTGGGCCAGCTGTTTTCATGCGACCCACTTGCGTTACAGACGCCGGGGGAGCGGTCAACGTTGTTCCTCTCGGTACCGTTGTCTCGTGCGCGAAGACTCCTGGAGGTTTCCTCAAGCTCTACACTAACGGCATGTACGACGAGTGCAGACTGCCTATCAGAGGTGTTAAAGGTGTGCTGGTGACCATGAAGAGTTTCGCGGGGTACGGCTCGAACATGCCGTTATGCTCTCACTTCAAAGGCCTTTACGATTGCAGCAGCAAGCGTATTCCATCGCCAGAGCAATATCTCGATCTCGCGCTGATGGTGCCGAAAGAACGTCCGGTTCTTCTGCCAGAGCATTTTTTTCGGCTTCTGCCACCCAGTGAGGAGTCGTCCTGCTTGGCTCAAGAAACTCCAGGTACGGCAGTGGGGCGTGGGAGTCTGATTCAAGACGCTGGGGGTCGGATCAAGGGACGCAGCGTTCACACGCAGGTCGGCCCGGATGCTCCTAGGAACACGTCGGACTTGCATTCTCAGGGTACAGGAACTCAATGGGTCGGTACTCCGAAACTTATCAAGGTCCGCTGCGGCGCCGACACGTATTCGCTTCAAGATGAGACGATAAGAGATTCAAGCAGATCGGGGCTAGATGTTGGCGGGAATGAGGCTGAAGGGATGGGCGTTGTCCGCGGAAGCTCTGGCGGGGAGCAGACTCCTTCGGAGAAGAAGAGCGAGAGACAGAGGATGGTGCAAGAGGAGGTGACGGAAGGAACCCTCCGCATGAAGAGGATGAGAGGAAAACCGGAGGCGGTGACGGGCGGGGATGGAGGTGGCGACGGAGAACGTGCCTCGGGAAAGAGGCCGACGAAGGAAGASGGTGGGACGRCAAGTAAKAAAGYGAGGAGGCCCGACGRTTTGACYATCCGCGAAGGACAAGCCGCGGGTGGAGGAGATTCGGTTGATCCAGACGCTGCGGCCGCGAGAGAACCTTCGAAGAAATCGAAACGGAAAGTGGCWGWTGAAGAAGGCGATKGCCARAWGAAACSTCGAAGGTGGAAGACTGYTGAGGCRGCGAGCGGGGGCGAACGGCCTGTCGGTGAGGAGTGCGACGAAGCGGCAGCGTTCTGGCTCGAATACGAGCGGAACGATGGCGGTGAGATCGTGGAGAAGGAGCTCCCCGTCCAACTGCTCATCGACCCCAAGAAGGTCTGCGACAGCCCGTCTTGGGAAATATATTACAACCACCGCGGTCTTTATCGCGAAACTGTGGACGACATCAAGGCTGCGATGCTGCGTCAATTCCACGACAAAAGGGGCAAGATCTGGACGAAAAACCCTTTGGTTCTGACACCCATCTACAAGCCGATGGAGCGTAGGCCGGAGCAAGCTGAAAGGGTTCACAACGATGTCTTCAAGCCGGAGGACAAGGACAAGTACTACTATTACCCTGTTAACGGACAACACACCGTGGCTGCTGTGAAGGAGTTGGAGGGTGAGCCAATATTCGTATTGTGGAAGATGCACTCGTGGCCGGCGAGAGTGGTGTGGTTCTCCGACCGAGGTTTCGCGAGCTATAGGCAGGTCAGTCTCAACGAGAATACGAGTCACAAGAGGTCTAAGTAGCGATCGCAGAAGGCCGCATTCTTGGACATGCGGGAGGAATGAGAGAAAGAAGGAAGGCCGATGGCCATTCAAGGCAACCCTTCCGACAAGGAGGGGGGAAAACAAAAGTTTTTCGATTTCCAAATGCTGATTTTGGGAATGAGTCCGAACGAAGCTCGCTGGTCGTTGGCAGAAAAAGATAAATTGCTCGCCGACAAGGAGTATGTCGCTGCCGTTGGCAATGCATTGAGGCAGTGGATGCCGCTCGTGACGGCCGGTAATGACGTTTTTGGCAAAGCCATGGAGTTCTACGCGAAATGGGCGGAGGGAAAGGTGTTGGGCGGCGACGGCAAGACGCCATTGTCGAGCCCGGGCAAATACATGCCAGACAAATCTCTGGGTCTGCAAGCAATTCCGGAAATGGGCTCGAAAGGGGCGGCTGGTGAAACGAAGATGGGGTGGCTTGTCCGGGTACCTCCGCCTCCTACCAAAAAGAAAACGCAAGCGGACGACAAGTTTTTCGTGGTCATGAAGGAGCCAAACATGTTCTGTTGGCAGTCTCCCGCCGACATGACCGATGTCAAGAATCTGTCGATCCTTGACGACATTCTCGCGCTAAGGAGAGTGTTCGTGCAATCCGCAGGCGGCCATCTGAAGCGTCAGCATAGACTTGGAATTAAAGACATGGTCGCGACGAGGAAAGTGGACCGTGTGATGCTCCGTATGTTCCACTACATCTTGTTCCTTGAAACAGAGGAGAACGAACGTGTTAGGCGCCACGGGAGCCCAATTTTTCCGACTGAGGGGAAGCTTCTGGAGGAGTTCGGGCCTCAGGGCCTCACGAAACAGGTGTGGGTTGAAATGCGAAAGCATTTCTAGGGCGCGGTGGAGTACGTGAACACTTGCAAACGTAGTCTTCCGCACGAGAAGGAGTCCATCGACGACGCAAAGAGATTGTACGATGATGAGAGGTTCCCTAAATTTTTCGAAAAGTCTGTCCGTTCCATCTTGAGACGGACGGAAGAAGAAGTTCGAGACACGATTAAGGGTCAGCGGGGATGTGAGGCACATCAAATGGTCCGACCTCAACCGGGTGACCAGCCTTATTCCTTTCGCTTTCCCGCCTTCCCAAGCTCAAAGTCATGTCACTGCGATCCGTGAGGTTGTGCGACATTACGTGTGCAACTTGTACGTCCTCGATTTGTGTGATCCCATACTCCTCACAGACTGGCGAGAAGACAATTTCGCCAACTTGCAAGGCCTTCTACAAACACTCTCGCCAACGCACTGGGCACTTGTGATCTTTTTCCCCTCTCGTTGGGAGCTCAGTTTCTTGAAAGGCATGACCAGGCTTAGCGTCCATCACGTCAGGACAGGGAAGTGGGTACGTAATGCACAAAAGCAGGCCACTGTCCGGGAAGGCAATATGCTGGTTGAGGAGTGTGACCGCCTGTACGTGATTTTTAATGGCGAGAAGCTGAAAGACGCAGTCTACTCGGCCAGTAGCCCGGCAAAGGCTTCCCGTGCTCATGGTCCAAGTCCGGCCAAACACACGGTGGAGGGCCGCTCGAAAGTTGTATGTTCGTCAGACCCATCAGGACAGGCTGTGGCGTGTTTCGACGTGGCGGAAGAGGAAAGGTTCTCTCATAGCATGTGGGAGGACGGCGGCGTGACAAGTTCTCAAGGACCTGCTTACGGGGAGATGGTGCGGAACCCATCCCGTCTACTTGGTCTACTCGTAAACTTTTGCAAAGCTGGTCAAACTGTTTTTTTCTTTGGGAAGGTGCATGCGCCTGTCGTGTGGGAACTCCTGAGCACCGGTCGGAACGTCGTCGCGTTGGAGAAGGAGGCGAAGATGATCGATTACCTTTACGAGTTCGTGAAGGCACGCGTTGCAGACACTCGCAATGCTTGCGAGTTTGCCCACACCACCGGCGAACGAAACTGGGATCCCAAACGTGACATGTATTGGAAATTGTCGGGGAACAAAAGGACAGACGTTTGGGACTTCCTTTTCGGACCCGGACCGCCTGGTCCGACCGACCTCGAATACAGTCGACGGAGAAACCTGGTGTTCGTTGTGCTCAATGGGTACCACGGTGCACCCAGGGAGTCTGTCTCGCACTTCTTGAGAAGGATGGAGCACGTTTACTTCACGCTGGCCGAACCGCTCACTCTCGAAAACTACAAGTCAAAGTTTGACGAGGAGGACCCTTTGGACGTTGAAGACATGGAGGAGCTGAGTGACTCCAAAACCTTCGATTGGTGATTGGACAGGTTGGTGATGAAGAGGAAGGTGGCCCTCGGAGATATAGCACGTCCCCTGCCGGTTTGAAGCATGTGTTTCGGGGCGAATCAGTCGACGATCAATCGTCTGATGACGAGGAGGAAGAGAGAGACTATGATCACAAACGTTGTGACAGGCTCCCTGTGGACCATGACACCTGGCAGAATGACAGACTCTACTTCTTCGGCCAGCATCACCGGTTCACGTCGGAGGATGTCTGGGGACACAACGTCGTCTGGCACCCGAGGATATTCCAACCTGCTGTGAGGAATGGAATATGGGTCATAACAATAAAGGAGGCCGATGGCAAGTGGAGGGGACTGAAGAGACTGGGAGCAGGTGCATTTAAGAGAAAGGCAAGAACTGCTCTGGTGGAGTATTTTAGTCTCATGAACCCCGAGAGGAACGATCAGGACGTCGATGCGTATGCAGAATAAAAACTACATGAGTTGTACGCCAACAACATGTTGGAGTTTCGAGCGCCTTTCTACGCACTCGAAACAGCACCGTCTCGTGGCATTGACTGGCGCATGCCACAACCTCCTTCGACCGGTCATCATCCGAGAGGGGGTGGTGGAGGAGACAAAGGAGACGGCGGAGGTGGCGGAGGAGACGGCTTACAGTTTGTCGGAAAGGGGACGGGCGAGACATCGTCGGTTGAGAAGACGTCCGGCGGAAAGGGGTCGGGCGGGAAGGGGTCGGGCGGGAAGGGGTCGGGCGGAAAGCGTAGAACGTCCGGGAGTCCCCAGTATATGGAAATTGACCCCACTGCGTAGGGAGTCGAGATTCCGACATGCGAGACGAGGCCACCCTGACGTCTGATCAAGTGCGAGTAGATTCGCACTTATCTGCAAGACGTTTGTTTCCCGTTGCCCAGGAGAGTCCATCCCGCCGTGCGCAGCAGAGGTCTCCTGTGCTCAACACCTTGCTCCTAAAAGAGGGCACGTCTTCGTTTTGCCTGGAGGGCGGGATGCCTGCATTGCGAAGGAGCAAAGGTGCGACCTCCGGTTCCCTCGACTCGGGCGACCGCCACAAACTCCGAATACATTCGGATTTGCTGACGTCGCCCTCCGCCATAAGTGCTCCTCACGCAACAGTTCAGCGGGGCCAAGAAAATGTGACGTCCTGGCCCCCGCATCTTCAGTTGGACACAGGTCTGTCCTGCTCGCCTCCTTTCTCATGTGTTGAGACTCGAGACTAGTGGTCTCGCGACGTGCTGGAGGGGCCCGCTCCAAGAGTGTTGGAGACTGGGGGTAGCGAGAACGAACGTCACACTCCTGGGGAAAACGAACGCTCTCCGGGAACGCGTGCTGTACATCGGGAAGAGGAGACTCAATGCTGGGAGTCTCGCAAAGTGTTGGAGACCGGGGGTAGCGAGTGTGAACGGCATGCTTCGGAGGGTGCATCCGTGGACACTGACAGCGAGAGTGCAGGAGCTCCGGGGGAAACGCATGCTGTACAGCGGGGGGAGGAGACTCGACACAGGCCGACTCGTGAAGACGTAAAGTGGCTCCACGCACGAGCGCTGGTGATCGGGACGTCCGAAGAGGTTCTGCACAGTCGCTCGGCTGTGGCCACGACGCGAGAGAGTGTCGTTAAGGGAGGTCGAGGGACGTCCGTGCAAGCTCCCGTTCTTGGAGACGATGAAGACGAAGAAGAACCCGCGGTGGAAGTTCGGGTTCATGGCGAAGGAGAACCCGTGGTGGAAGGCGGTGAGGTGACTGCCGACATCCGGACGGATCCACAACGGAAAGATGGTGATTCTTCGCCCACCCGTTGCGGTAAAGAACAGGGTGGTCGAGCGTCTGTCATGATCACCGCTTGGGGAATGGTGCTTCATGAAGCCATAGAGTTGGGTGACAACTCGGCTGCCACCGAGCTGGTTAGCGCCTCAGGAGTGGCCGAGATGCAGAAAGTCGAATCCAACGTGGAAGACGGTGAGGTGGCCGTCAGCATCAAGATGGATCCAGAGCGGAAAGATCATGATTCTCTGTCCACCCGTTGTGGTGCCGAACACGGTGATCGAGCATTTGTCCTCTGTATCGGTCGGGAAATGGTGCTTCATGAAGCCATCGAGTTGCCAAGCGACTCAGCTGCCACCGAGATGGTTAGCGACACAGCCGTGGTCGGGGTCCAGAACCTCGAATCGTCCGTGGACGTTGGCGCAATGGCGCGACAGGGGGGCGAGTTCCCTCAAAGGGCTCCTGAGCACGGTAAGATTTGTAAATAGGACCACTCGCATATCTGTCAATAGCCAACTCTGTGTTCGTCCTAATTGATGTCGTGGGCTAATGTACCTATTACCACTGGTTGAAAAAAAGCTTGTGGGTTGTGGGTTGTTTTCTATGTTCTACAAGTATGAGGTTGTTCATGTCCCTGCCCATGAAGCCTTTAAAAACTGTGCGTAAGAAACGTCTTTCAGGGAGGTCATTGGTCGTTTTACCGAAGAAGCCGTCAAGTGTAGGGTTGTTTAAGAGGATCCAGATGCCTCGCCTTTCCCAAAGAATTGTCAGCGTTCTGAAGGCTTGTGGAATAGATAAGGAGGAAGGTCTGCGAAAACATTTGGTTGCGTCTATTGAGAGCGTTACTGCTTTGTGTGATGGGTCTGATGACGATGGCGAACGGGGTGTCTTGAAAGACCCGTGTCCTAAATACATCGCGAAGGACACATTCAACTGTTGGGGATACAACTTTTCTGGAAAAAGGGCAGACAGTTCTTAGTTATTCCACCACGGGGTTTGTGCTCACTCCTCACACTTGTTCGTGGGTGTTTGTGCAGCTGGGGCTACATCATGTTTTCGCGTTCCGTTGCCTACTGAGGAGCTTAGCGCTACGGACTTTTGTGGAGATTACAGCAACGGCCACGAGGTGGTGTGCTCGGTTCGCAAAGGGGTCAGTTCACTTCCGTTGAGCAGAACAAGTCTTCAAGCTCTTGTTCAGGGGGAATGGATTTCCGACGAGGTGGTGGAGTCATACTTGGCCTTGTTTGCCAACGCTGCGTTGCCTGGGTGTCCCTCTCCTTACATTTTCAGTCCATTTTTCTATACCAAGCTCGTCCATGGTGGCTATCGACATGATAGGGTTGCGAGATGGACAAAAGATGTAGATATTTTCTCGCACGAGATGATCTTGATTCCTGTTTATAAACATGGAGTGCATTGGACCCTATTTTGTCTCCGAGAACAACGGCTGGAGTACTACGACTCCCTCGTACAAGACGATGGCGGTTTTTCTTCCGATGTGATTGCGAACTTCACGCAACACCTCCGTGACGAAGCGGTTTGTCATTATGGTCCAAAAACGAAAGTGGATCTTCAGAAGCCCAAGGTGGTTGTTCGTGGTGTCCCTCAACAATCGGACGGGTCGAGCTGCGGTGTTTTCATGATCGTCTTCGCTTCATTTCTTGCACGTGGCTGGCCGCCACCATTTCCGATAGCCCAAAGCGACATTCCAAACATCCGACTGAGGATTGCGGTGGACATACTCCAAGACTCTGAATAATACCCCTGTTGTTAAAATACGCGTAGTTTTTTTTTCCAAAGGCCATAAGCAGAAGTGCGAATCTATTCCCACTTCATCTGGTAGTCAGCCGGTTCGAGCTGTGCTGTTGTTTTGATGAGGCACCGGATTGCAGAGGGCGTTTTTAGGTGTCGATGTGAATATCCCAGCCTCGTGCTGTACCAATTTTTTTAAGGGATTTTCATTTTGTGGAACCTGTCATCTTTATTCGTAGGACTTTCAGCAGCGCCTTGCTGCCTTTGTTTGTTTTAGGGTTTTTCTCATTGCTTGTCGCGCAACATCTGCTAGTGGGTAGCAGCGGACGCTTACGTGAAGTAGAAGCTTAGATGCCGATGTAAATATCCTAGCCACGTCGTGCACTTCCTTTTAAGTAGACGCTTACATATCGGATGTGAATATCCCAACTTTGTGCTCCTTTGGTTTATTTTCGGGTTGTTCTCCTTATGTCCTCTCATACCGCGGCAGCACCGTGCTGCGTTTGTTCGTTTTGAGGTTGTGCTCCTCTCTTGCTCATGTGAAAGATATCGACGATTTATTCTTGGTCGCCAAATTGTTTTGTGCTTATCTCTTTCGTTCTCGAGACTTTGTGGTGTGAAAGCCCGTCTCCCCCGCCCCACCCCGACCACCCAACTTTCATATGTTTTGGCTCGCCCTTGTTCTGCGTGTGCCGCCCCGTTTTACGGTTCACCCCCTCTGCTTGTCTTCATTGAATGTTGTATGTTGGTTCCTTACGACAGTTGCAAACTTGTTCTCCATTCGGAAACCAATTGTCGCCAGAATGTATGTATGCTTGAAGTTGTTTTATGGATTCAGCGGTCCAATGAGGCATCACCAATTTTGTTATCCCCACAATACATCTCGTGCTCTCCACGGAATGCTGACTGTTGTTTCCGTATAAGAAATGTGAACATATTCGCACTTCGGATGCCGTACATTTGTGATTGAACTGTTGGTTCCATGTGAGAAATGAGAACATATTCGCACTTTGGCTCCATGTACTTTGTGATATTTGGAAAGCCTTCGTGCACTTTGCAATGTGGGATTGTATGATATTTCGCGTTCAATGACTTCTTGAAACGTCTCTGTGTGCTTTGCAATTTGCCCTCGAATGAATTTTTTGCATTGAATGGTTTCTGGTACCTGTTCGTGTGCTGTGAGACTTCACCTTTGGAAAAACACTAGGCAACTTGAGATGTTTTCACCTCGATGTTTACGATGTCTCTGTTTGCTTTGCAATTTGACTTGTGCTTGAAGTTGTTTAACGGATTCAGCGGTGCACTGAACTGTTGGTTCCATATGGGAAATGAGAACATATTCGCTCTTTGGCTCTATGTACTTTGTGACTTTTGGAAAGCCTCCGTGCACTTCGCAATGTGGCATTGTATGATATTTTGCGTTCAATTTGGAAAGTCTCTGTGCTTTGCAATTTGCCCTTGAATGAAATTTCTGCATAGAATGGTTTCTGGAAACTGATCGTCTTCTCTTAGACTTCACCTTTGGAAAAAGAGTGCGCAACTTGAGATGTTTACACCTCGATGTTTGCGATGTGTCTCTGTGCTTTGCAATTTGACTTGAGATGTTTTCATCTCGATGTTTGCGATGACAAGAGATACTTGTATGAATGAATATGAATCTTCTACACAAAAAAAATTGATGGCGTTTTCAACCTGTGATATAAAAATGACAAACCAATGTCCATATTAAATCGTCGCGCTGATGGACTGTGCAACTGCTTCTCCATCAAAGTGTTAGTTCAATCGCACTTCTGATGTGAGCCCTGAGCAATTCCCTCGCACTTTGCTTCACATCGAGGAGGGGATCGAACGCACCGCCTGTAAGCACCAGCACATCACGAAACAAGAACACGTCCCAATGAGAACATCGTCGGGTCCTCACTTCATCGACTCTCAAGATGACTACAGCCAACATCGGTAGGATGGCAGGTCCGCCTCTCCGATGTGGATCTCATGGTGGAGTGCGAAACTCTGCTCTCAAAGATCCAGACTGGGTAGAAGGTCCTGCAAGCAGTCGCTGCTTGCTTGTAAGGCATCTTATGATGTATCGATATAACCGACATCCAGAACTGTTTGGTGAGCATCTAGTGCTACGCCAATAAGTTCCAAACACGGCAGCAAAATCCCCTAAGAGTGTTCTTTGTCGGGTCCTCACCACATCGACTCTCAAGATTACTACAGCCAACAGCGGTAGGATGGCAGGTCCGCCTACCCGATGTGGATCTCACGGTGGAGTGCGAAACTCTGCTCTCAAAGATCCACACTGGGTAGAAGGTCCTGCAAGCAGCCGGTGCTTGCTTGTAAGGCATCTTATGATGTATCGATATGACAAACATCCAGAACTGCTTAGTGAGCATCTAGTGCTACACTAATATGTTCCAAACACGGCACCAAAGTCCCCTGACAGTGTTCTTTGTCGGGTCCTCACCTCGTCGACTCCCTCAAGATGACTAGAGCTGACAGCGGTAGAATGGCAGGTTCACCTATCCGATGTGGATCTCGGTGGAGTGCGAAACTCTGCTCTCAAAGATCCACATCGGGTAGAAGGTCTTGCAAGCAGCCGATGCTTGCTTGTTAGGCATCTTATGATTTGTCGATATAACCGACATCCAGAACTGCTTGGTGAGCATCTAGTGCTACGCCAATAAGTTCCAAAAACACGGCAACAAAGTCCACTGAGAGTTTTCTTTGTCGGGTCCTCACCTCATCAACTCCCTCAAGATGACTACAGCTAATAGCGGTAGGATGGCAGGTCCACCTATCCGACGTGGATCTCACAGTGGAGTGCGAAACTCTGCTCTCAAGGATCCATACCGGGTAGAAGGTCCTGCAAGCAGCCGCTGCTTGCTTGTAAGGCATCTTATGATGTGTCGATATAACCGACATCCAGAACTGCTTGGTGAGCATCTAGTGCTACGCCAATATGTTCTGAACACGACCGCAAGGTCCCCTAAGAATGCTTTTGGCACTGGAGTCCTCTGACCGCCGACTATTTGGCACTTCGTGAAGGTTGACACTTCTTGAAGGTGGTCTACCACTTCTTAAAGGTGGCCAGTCACCAAACAGATCACGACATGACATCGACCTCGATAACTGCGAATTGACTCGCTGTTCAACTAGAGTCTCTCTCTCTCTCTCTCTCTCTCTCTCTCTCTCTCTCTCTCTCTCTCTCTCTCTCTCTCTCTCTCTCTCTCTCTCT